TGGAGTAAGAATCAAAGGAAGAAATTAAGGTAAGCAAATTGGTTGTTTAAAGTGATTTTTGTAAAGGTAAATGCAAATTCCAAAAGAAAAAGTTATTAATTGTGTAGGAATTTAAATAGTATATAAGGAGGAGAGAAATTGGGTTCGAGGTTACTTACAAAAGGAAAAGAGTAAGAGGTAGAGGAATTAATGAGTCAAATCTTCAATGAGGTAAATAATGCAAGTTTAATTTAAAAGTATATACTATTTATTTTGTAGACTCGTACACTAGCATTTAATGAAAATTCAAGGAAATAGTTAGAAAAAGGGAATGATGTTATAAATGCATATTTATAGCCAAGTATTTATGCATGAACAACCACATGCAAATTTGAATTATTCAGATTTAAAATAAAATGTAATATAATTATTTAAAGATTTTTTTCTAGTTGGAAACATTTTGAAAATAAGTAGAATTCGTTACATGTGGCATATAAATTCTCTTCATGCAAACAATATAATAGATATGTTGTTATAAAAGTATGCAACCCTATAATATAACTAAGAACTATGAATATGTGAAATTTAATGAATATCAAATCAGTAAAAATTAACTATAAAATGATATGATACTTATAATTGTAGGTGGGGCAAAAGAGACCCCAATTATGATACCTGATAATATAGGTGGGGTAAAAGGGACCCTAGAAATATGATATATGCATAGCAGATGGGGCAAAAAGGGACCCCTAAAGAGACAAAAGCGACTTCTATGTAGTTAAATAACGTTAATGTCAGGTTACCTAGGCTCCATTGAATATTTTTATGAAATTTTAGTCAAATCTTTAAAGACTAATATTGATATTCTGTATGAACGTCAAATGAATAAAAAGATAATTTTTAAAGATGATTTATGTTGTTTTGCAAATATTTCTGAATTAATTTAATTATGTTATTATTTATAATCTGGTATTTAATTTTTATGTGAATTGCATAACTTATTGAGCTTCATAGCTCACATGTTCTTTTTATGATGTTGTTGTTATCGGAAAATGAGAGGAAAAGGTCTAAACATAATAGGTTCAAATTATTTTATGTTTTATTATATTTAGCTTTATTTATAGGTCTACAGTTGAAGTTGTAGACTATTCAATGGTGTACTAATTGGATTTTCTTAGTGACTCTATAATTATTTATGTGATGAAAGTTGGATCCTTTATATGCTTCCGTTATTATTCAAATGTGATTGTCAATGAATGTTTAAATGAGCATCAAATTGATGAGAACTATTAAATGTTAAAAAGATGAATGTTATGTGTTATTTATGTGACACTCTACGTTACTGATAAGAGGTATCATGAGATGTTACAAATACAATCACCATCTTCTTAATTGTTTGGCACACTAAAGACATCATAGGTGCTTGCCTTACTTCCCGACTCCTTGAGTTAAGCATTTCACAAGGTATACAGTAATGGCACCTAGCTTGAATGTGTACATGGCATTATGACCTCTCATTGCCTAACCCAAGCTCTTAGCTCACATTCCACAAATACATATATCAAACATAGACTAGTTTTGAGAGGTCTGGCTTAATTGCATCCACAAAGGGGGAATAGATACCATCAGCACAAAACTATAAACACATGGAGAGGTACCCCCTATCCACTCCAATAATATCATTTACACTATTTATGTTGCAACCTAAGGGTTGAAATGGCAAGTAGCAATGAACTAATGATGTCCATGTATAGTTGTTAATTGAAATGTTGTTACTCCATTAAATAATGATACTTTTTAATGATTTGATCTAACAATTTTTTCAGAAAATGACCATTTTGATCAATTCATTTTACCATGTGCCGGCATTATAAGGTTTGTAAAGTAGGATGTATTAGGGTATATGATTTCAAATTAAGATCTATCACAAAAAACAAAAACTCATGTAATATGCACACATTTGTATATGGTGCAAAAGAGGAGTTTAATCTAGTAGTTGGTATGCAACTCATTAATAAACGGAATTAAAAACTTGGAACCTCTAGATTTCATCATTTTTTACAAGGGTACATATATTACTTGCAAAAAAACTCTACCTAGTCATGCCCATGATTAAACTTAATTTTATAATAAACTAATCTGGCATTCTGACAATAAATCAACATAACCAAACAAATGAGCCAAATATCAACATGGAAATAATCAGCATAAGCAATGAATTGACACACAATACTGACAATAGAAGCAATGTTGGGTCATTGTTTGTGTCTTCATTGTGATATGGTGGAGCTCATTTTTCATTTGAATGACTCTTGAGTAGTTAGCTGACTAACTTAGTTTTTCCATGGTGCTCCAAATTTCTAAGCAAGTGTCAAGCTTTAGGACATAAGGGAGAATGGGAGCAATTAAGGTGGAATAAATGGCAGCAACAATATTTTGGTTCATAAGCATCAAAGTGTTCTAAGAGGGTTTAGATAAAGTTGTCCATTAACATTAGTTTGACGTTTGTTAAGGTAAGGTATAATTCAATCCACAATTTTATTGAAGCCATTTGCGGTGAAGAGTTTGAAGATTTTAGATCATCATAGTAGACAATTTTGACTTGAGAGTTGTGCCAACAATGAATTTTATGTTGGGACATGAGGAATTTGAGGAAGGGAGGAATGCTTAAGCCATTGAGGTTGAGACCCGAAAGTTCCTCATACAGGGCAACCAATAAGGATTGATTCAACTGGAATGATTGGGAGGAAATTCAAATACATAGGAGAGCACTAGGTGTGTCAATATTTGACACGACCAAAACTCGAACCAAAAACTCGGGGTTACGGTCAATCCATTTAACAAACAGGTTAGGTTTGGGATTCAAATTTTGACCCATTTAAAAAATCTGGTCGAGTCGGGGTCAACCCGCTAACTTGAAGTTGGCCTAGGGTTTGCTTTTCCTCTTCTCCCACCATTCGTAATTCATGCGTGAGGCAAAGTTTTGAACAAGTTGATAAAAGACTTATTAACTGCTTCGACCATTTGATGATGTTCCTTCTGTTAGGTTGAAATTCACGACAGCTCGTCGTTCCTTTATTTGGATCAAAAATAATGATAACGATGAGAGGGAGCTCGCTCGTTGTGAAGATAATCTACATCTGCTTCGAGCATGAGGTAAAGTTTGGAAAGAGTCGATAAAAGATTTCTTCGCCTCCTTTTATGACGCTCCTTCTGTTGGGTCAAAAGTCACGAAAACTCGTTGGAACGGAAGTAATGACAACGGGAAGGAGCTTGCTCGTTGTGAAGGTACACGCTTCTTCGACCAAATCTTGCACCGTGGTTTCGTGTTGGGTCGAGTCAACCCGGAAACCCGACGGGTGGAGTCCGAGTTGAAAATCTCCGACCCATCTACAAAAAAGGGTCGAGTTCAGGTCGAGTAAAACAATAACATATCAAAATTAGGTTCAACCCAAACCTTCCCCGCAACCTGATTTTGCCCCCCCTAAAGAGCGCTTAGGCTAGGGTGTGCTCTAATACCATAAAGAACCTGTGCAATGAATGCAAGTAAAGGAAATTAAGAAAACAAAAGGAAGAAGAGATGAGGAACTAAGTAGAAGTATTTCATTTCATTTCTACATATAGGTATATAGGATTGCACTTAATTCACACAAAGAGATATGGAACTGGATTATTACATGATAGAGATTTGTTTTCCTTAGATGGTGGTGTTAGCATGGTTTGCTATGATTGGATGGTCATTTTTAATTGGCTGAGAGAGTAGCTGCTACTTTTGCTCTACCAAGCTGCAATTTGCATAAGGGTTGTTATCAAAGCTTTGAGAAATGACCCACCAAAATAAGAAATTTAAAAGGAAATGTGATGCTGGATACTAAATTTTAACAGCCTGAGGATGCAGTTGCTCTTTTTTGAATAACATGACAACCAAACCAATAATAGCTTGTATAAAAGTAGGCATTGTTCCTTGTTGGTAACAATTACAAAGCAAACTCAATAATTAAAGTTACATCATCAAGACCAAAGCTTCGTTTGAGACGGCTTTCTTACTGTTTTTTGAAGTAACTTTCTAGTAAAAAAATATTTTTTGTACTAAAAAACTGCTTCAAAAATCAGCAAGAAAGCCGTCCCAAACGAAGCCTAAATACGAAATTGAAGAAACATTCATCTTGTCAGCTCCTACGAACTTCTCATGATACAATGATTACTAACAGGACTGCCTTCTCCTAACCAAATAACCCTCAAGAATTGCCAAATAGAATCAATTCATGCATCCAAATACTAAACTAGATATGATCCATCAATTTAATTACTTTCTATTAGGGAATACAAAGAGAGCATCAGAGAGAAAACAAGAATGAAATACAGACCTTCCTCTATCTCTAAGCTTCCAATAAGAGAAATGCACACTGTTATTAAAAACAATCTCTCATCTTCAAGGAAGACCAAGTAGGAGTTGGTTTATTGAGCTTGTTATTAAAAACAAGAGAAATAAGATAGTGACTCATAAAGGGCTGTACACTGGAAGAAATTATTTTGTGCGGAGTCCGGACGCAGAACATCATCCAGAGACCAACCAGAATGCGCCACGTCAATGGTACCGAGCCGCGGTATCGGGTCGCGATACCGAGCGAAGGGGTGATGTGGCATATTTTGGTTGATCTCCGGACGACGTTCGGCATCCGCACATAATAATTTGTCGTTCTTTGGATATCTCCCCATTATTTTTTTTTTTTTCCTCCAGTGAAAATCCTAACCATCAAATTCGAAATCTGGTAAGAGAGATTGCAATTTTTTTCAATAAGGATAGGAATACCATTTTGAACAGAAGAGAACTGTTCAGAATAAAGAAATATGTGTAGAATTTCTGTAAGTTAGTGAATCTCGTAGAGAATACAAGCGTCCAGCTCTCTGCTTTAACTAGAAGCCCAACATTGAATTTGTACATTTGGTCACAGATGAAAGAATTATCAACAACTACATTTTTCTGCTTCCTGCTAGGATAGAAGTACATTGAACAGTGATTGGATCCTCACTATTTTCCATAGAAACAGAATGCTTTAATCCTACAATTTAACAAAATAATACATAAATTTTCCAAAACAGTATTACATGGAAGAAGTCTCTAAAGGCTTTAATCTCTCCATCTTTCACGACAGTTCCCTCTGAATCGAAATGAGAAAAATTTTATTCCATATTCCCTCAGATTTTGGATTGAAAATGTAATAGTTAGTGATCATCCATACAATCAAGACTTGTGAAAAATTCATCAAAATTATTTTAGTTCATGTAGCCTTTTAGCTGAGCTCAATGTATTGGATAAAAGCATGGCAATAGTCATGGGACCAACTCCACCAGGCACTGGAGTAATAGCTGAGGCCACCTTGCAAGCCTCCTCAAAGCACACATCACCTACTAGTCGATATCCTCGAGCACTTCCTGTATCCTGAAACATTCGGGCAAAGTGAAAAGATCATGGAAACAAGTTCAAGTAGAAACGAGAGAGACTCTTTATTTCAATTACTCGGAGCAAGGTCTTAATAACTAAACATGAAACACGAAACAACTATAAATGAAGAGCTTTCAAATGCAGCTCAATAGTATTGAGTAGTGTCAAAGGGATCAAAGTTCAAATCAATAGATATGCCTTAAATGCCTATAGATACCCCTAGAAAGCGAGATTATTCTCCCTAGTAAGCGAGATTATTTATGTGTGCTTCCGTTATTATTCAAATGGAATTGTCAGTGAATGTTTAAATGAGCATCAAATTGATGAGAACTATTAAATGTTAAAAAGATGAATGTTATGTGTTATTTATGTGACACTCTACGTTACTACTGGTAAGAGGTATCGTGGGGTGTTACAAATGCAATCACCATCTTCTTAATCAAAACATTTGGCACACTCAAGATAATATAGTTATTCAATCCTGAGGCAGTAAACCCCATCATAGGTTCTTGCCTTACTTCTTCACTCCTTGAGTTAAGCATTTGACAAGATACATAGTAATGACACCTAGCTTGAATGTGTGCGTAGCATTATGACCTCTCACTGCTTCACCCGAGCTCTCAGCTCACATCCCACAATACATATATCAAATATAGACTAGTTTAGGGAGGTTGGCTTGATTGCATCCACAAGGGGGGAATAGATAATATCAGCACAAAACTACAAAGCACATGAAGAGGTACCTCCTATCCACTCCGATAATGTCACTTACACTGTTCATGTTGCAGCCTAAGGGTTGAAATGGCAATTAGAAATGAACTAATGATGTACATCTAGAGTTGATAATTGAAATGTTGTTACTCCATTAAACAATTATACATTTTTAATGGTTTTCTCTAATAATTTTCCTAAAAAATGACCATTTTGATCAATTCATTTTACCATGTGTTGGCATTATAAGGTTTGTGAAGTAAAATGTATTAGGGTATAGGATTTCTAATCAAGATCTATCATGAAATACAAAAACTCATGCAACATGCACACATCTGTATATGGTGCAAAAGAGTTCAATCTAGTAGTTGGCATGCAACTCATAATTAAATGGAATTTAAAAAATTGGAACCTCTAGATTTCATCATTTTTTACAAGGGTACATATATTATTTGCAAAAAAACTAATCTGGCATTCTAACAATAGATCAACATAATCAGACAAATAAGTCAAATATCAGCAAGGAAATAATCAGGAAGCCAGAATGAACAAATTAACATTATCGCAATTATCTAAAAAGATAATGGAATTAGCATGCAAGATAGTTTAAAAAATATATAAGTAGAAGCATAGATTTCTCAGGTAATCCTTACGAGATTGACGACAACTTACATCAACAGGATTAATTCCAACATCAACAACAACAGCACCTGGTTTTAGCCAGCTACCCCTCACCAGATTTGCAACTCCGGCAGCTGAGATAACTATGTCAGCTTGTTTTGTGATTTCTTCAGGGTTTTTAGTGTACGAATGTACAATTGTTACTGTTGCATTTGCTCGCTGTTCAAATAATGATAGCAAGGTCAATGCAAAAATAGAAACAATGGGAGTCATGAATTTAAAATGAAGAACAAACCACAAAATCTGATCAGTAATATTGCAATATGTCAAAATCATTCACAAGAAAAATAGAAAATACAACAGCAACAAAATCTCATAACAAAAATGTCCAAAAACCTCTCAATCAGGGTGAAAAAATGAAATAACAAAGCAGTAGGCATTCCAATAGAACATCTTCTTTCTGTAACGATCATACTATATAATTTGAAACCAAACTTTGGATAAATAATTACATAATATTGGGGAGGAAACCCCATCATTGTCTCGTAATTGAACTCTAATAATGGAAGGAAATCTAAATAGTAAAAATAACATAGTATAACAAAATCATCCCAAGGAAGATAGAATCTACAAAAAGACCAAAAGAAACTTCAAATGAATTATATAATTATATAAAAAAAAAAACACAGAAGATAATAAGGAGAGATACCTGCAATAACAATGCAGCAGGCATTCCAACAATGTTGCTTCTTCCTATAACAACAGCTCTCTTACCCTTGATTTCAATTTCATACCTGTGCAGAAGTTCCATGCATCCTTTTGGCGTACATGGAACAAACAAAGGTTCCCTACCTTGCATGGCAAGACGACCAATATTCAGAGGATGGAAACCATCAACGTCTTTCTCAATACTAACAGCATTCAAGATTTTCTCCTCATTCATGTGCTGTCAATAATAACCAACAAAGCATAAATCAACTATCCCATTCTTTATAATGAGAAAGATACAAAGGATTCAGTTGCAAACTGATAAATAAGTGTTTCAATTTTCTTTATCATATTTCAATTCTCTTTTCTAGTTGTTTGGAGGGTACCGTCTTCATAGAAGATTAACATGTCATATCATGGATATTCTTAACAAAATGAGCAATCATGAAAACACAAAGCATCATCAAACAAGGATAGATGGTCATAACTAATGCGACAACCTCGACATGATAAAACTATAGATGTTCAGCTAAAAGAAGAGATGCTTAGAGCCCTTTAAATAACAAATAGATTAATGATTAATCCATTCAAATCTAAATACATAAGAACCCAACTAAGTGTTTATTGAAAAAACAAAATCAATTTGCCTCATTAAAAAAGCAAGGAATGCAACATACCCGAGGTAGAGGTAATTGTACGAGGATGCCATGAACTAAAGGATTGCTGTTGAATTTGGAAATATGCTTGATAACTTCTTCCTCAGAACAATCCTCAGGCAAATTAGCTTCATAAGATGCAATGCCTACATCTTCGCAAGCCTTCTTCTTGTTGCGCACATAGGTTTGGGAATCTTTTCTCGAACCTACTAGAATAACTGCCAATCCAGGTACAATGCCAGTTGATTCTTTAATGCCATCTATCTCACCAGCAATTTCATCTCTGATCTTCTTTGCAATTAATTTTCCATCAAGCAACTTTGAAGATGTCTCGGTTGTCATAGCAACTATAAATGAATTTGAAGGAAATACCAGGTAAAATAACTTATTAACTAAAATTCTTTTGAACTGATGACAAGGTTAGTCATATTGTAAGGGATCAGAAAAATTAAAACCATGGAATTATAAGAATAAAAGAAAAAAATCAAGAAAAAGCGTAAGCGGTTAAGTACCACAACTACTTCCAATTTATAAAGCATTTATATGTATGCATGCCAAACCCTAGAACCAAAAGCTTCCATTACTGTGATAACTTCACAGTCAATCCGATGGTCATTTGTAAGCAAAACGTTCTGTAACTGTCTCTTGCCACCTGTCGGTTTGTTATTTGTCTACTGTGTAACTGTCATCTTGTAAGAAGTCTATAAATAGCTGATGTAAACCTGTAATGCGGTATGAAATAGAAGTCTCTGTTTCCCATTTCTCTTCTATTTCGTTACAGTCAACATGGTATCAGAGCCTTAATCTCTGTTTTTTTTTAGCTTATCTTATTCAAAATCTTCTCAAGATTCAAGATGTCTTCAACAAATCAATCGAAAGCTGATGGATCGATTGCATCTTGCGACTCACCTCAAATACCTTCGGCTCTCAAATTCTTGATGAGTAACATCAAGAATATTATATCTGAGCCACTTACCGCAGAGAATCATCCGCTGTGGAGATCGCAGGTTCTTAAACTTTTTAGAGTAAATGAGTTTGAGGGATTCTTGGATGGATCCAACATCTGTCCAGCATAATTCAAACACACCGAAACTGGCCAGATTATCTCTAACCCTCTTCACATAAACTGGACTTTAATGGATCGAATCTTGCTGCGGCATTATATTCTGTCATTTCGCCTACAATACTACCGTATGTTCTTTCGGTAGAACACTGCAATGAAATATGGCAAATTATTGATCGACAGCTGCAGTCCAGCACTAGATCAAGAATTATACAACTTAAGAATGAAATGCATTACTTATCGATGAAAGACAAAACCATGAATCAATATCTTCTTGAGGTTAAAGCAAAAGTTGATTCGTTAGCATCGGCCGGAGCACCGTTAGGTGTTGAAGACATCATTCATTATACGTTAAATGGCCTTACAACAACTTATCAACCATTCAAAACGGCCATTCGTACTAATCTACAACCATTAAGTTTGGATGATCTTTACACATTGTTATGCAGTAAAGAACTCAATTTAGCGCAGGAAGCCAATCGAGAGATTCAATCTCTCCAATTATCTGGAAACACACTGGCTCTCACGGCCACTCATGGACAAGATCGAGGGCGAACACATCAATCGTGAGGAAGAAATCACTACAACAATCGCCAACAATTTAATAATCCATCTCGCGGAGCTTGATCACCAAGAACCCCTGTTACATGTCAAATTTGCGAAAAATTCGGACATTCTGCAGTGAAATGCTTGTATCGACATGATGAACAGTACAATAGTGAACAACCAACAGCTGCATTATTTACTTCTTCATCCACAGCTACTACAACTGATGGGTATTTGGACAGTGGAGCTTCAGCACATCTAACTGCTGATTCAACTCAATTACAACAAGCACAAACGTACACTGGATAGAATCAAGTTGTTCTTGGAAATGGACATCAATTGCCAATAAAAAATATGGGGAAAGGTATATTGCCTACACCTGCAGGTAGTCTTCAACTATCTAAATTGAATCTTGTTCGAAACCTGTCTCTTAATTTGTTATCAGTTTATTATCTAATTGCTGATAACAATTGTCACATAACTTTTTCATCTCATGGATATGAAATCAAGTACAAGAAGAGTCATCAGCTTCTCCTCACCGGACCATGTATTAATGGCCTATATCTGATCCAAGCAACTCAGCAAAATGAATCAAACACTTTCCAGCTTGCTCTAATGTCTATCCAAACTGTTCAGGATCTTTGGCATCGGAGACTTGGACATCCTTTCTCTCAAACTCTTTCAAGTCTTGCTACGAATAATATTGCCATTTGCATTTCTTCAAAAACTTTTTTGTGCAATGAATGTAGAATGGCTAAGAGCCATCGTTTACCATTTACTGTTTCACAAAATTTTAGTAAAACTCCTTTTGAGTTGATCCACTCAGATGTTTGGGGGCCTTCTCCATCCTTTTCTAATCAAGGGTATCGATATTATGTCTCTTTCATTGATGATTTCTCCAAACATACTTGGGTTTATCCGTTAACTCGAAAATCTAAAGTTATTTACAAATTCCTGGATTTCCAAAGAATGGTGAAATGTCAATTTCAATCTACTATTCGTGTTTTTCGCACGGATGGGGGGGGGGGGATTTGTTAATAACAAATTCAGCATGGTATTCCGTCACAATGGAATAATTCACCAATTTACTTGTCCCCATTCTCCCTCGCAAAATGGTGTGACTGAACGAAAACATAGACACATCACAAAAACCATTCGTACACTGCCCATTCAAGCATCTATGCCACAAAATTTTTGGATTGAAACTCTCATGACAGCCGTCTATTTAATAAATAGACTACCATCTTCCAACACCTCAAATAAATCACCATTTGAAATTCTTCATGGAACATCTCTTGATTACAATTTTTTAAAGGTATTTGGATGTTTATGTTATCCATGGCTTAAACCATATTCAACAAATAAATTGTCCCCTTTTTCTTATCCATGTGTGTTTATTGGATATGCACATTTTCAAAAAGGTTATCGATATGGTCACAAACAAAGTCTACACATCTTGTCATGTTGTTTTCAATGAAGTAGTTTTTCCTTTCTCAAAACATACAACTCATCATCACACTTCAAACTTCACCGAGAACAATACTCCTCCTCTGCTTCTTGTTCCCACTTCGGGCTTGCCAAATCAAATTAACAATATCTTGCCAGTTCAAAACAATCCAAACACCCTACCATCCACCAGCTCTAATCTCATTCATGATTCACAGACAGATAATTTCATGAATTCTGTTTCGTCTACAAATAATTCAGAACCCTCTCATCAACCACTGGTGTTTCATCCTATGATTACAAGATTTAAAAGTGGCTGCACTAAATCAAAACTTGTATTTGATTTATCACACATGCTGCAACCAGTTGAGCCTACTACCTATAATCAAGCAGTTCAGAGTCAGCATTAGCGTACTGCGATGTCTCAAGAGTATCAAGCACTACAAGCTCAAGAAACCTGGGATTTAGTTCCACCATCCCCAAATCAAAATGTTCTTAGATGTAAATGGATGTTTAGAACCAAATTAAATTCAGATGGGTCCATATCAAGATATAAAGCCAGATTAGTGGCTAAAGGTTTTAATCAAGAACAAGGCATTGATTATACCGAGACGTTTAGTCCGGTAGCTAAGATGCCTATCATTCGTGTTCTCATCCTCATTGCACTATTTCACAAGTGGGAGATTCATCAATTAGATGTTTCTAATGCATTCTTGCATGGTGCTTTAGCGGAAACTATTTTTATGCAACAACCTCAAGGGTTTCAAGATACTATTCATCCTCATTATGTTTGCAAGTTAAAGAAGGCCTTATATGGTCTTAAACAATCTCCAAGAGAGTGGTATGCAACATTGTCAAATCATTTACAGGAATTTGGTTTTCAAATGAGTGCAGCGGATCCATCACTTCTAGTATACAAAGTTGAATCAGTTCGGATGTACATCTTGATTTATGTGGATGATATCCTTTTAACCGTTAATTCACAAACAAAAATTACTAGACTTCTCAGTAATTTACAACAGCGATTTCAAATGAGAAATCTTGGGTCTTTGAACCAATTCTTGGGTATACAAGCTGTACCAAAATCATATGGAATTTTACTCCATCAGCAATCATATGCAAACCGGATAATAGAACAAGCAGGAATGCAAAATGCAAAGCCTGTTTCATCTCCAATACCAATCAAAACGGTGCTTACCACTATATCCAATACAGAATCTGCACATCCGCAGTTATATAGAACATTGATTGGCTCCTTGCAACATCTAACACTAACTCGTCCAAATATTCAATTTGTAGTACATCAGCTTAGTCAACAAATGCATAAACCTCTTAACATACATTTTGAAAATCTTAAGAACTTACTACGTAATATCAAAGGTTCTTCTGACAAAGGAATTGCTTTACACAGTGATGATCTCACACTAAGAGGGTATGTTGACTCCGACTAGGCTAGTAATCCTAATGATTGGAAATCTGTTTCCGGCTATTGTAATTTTTTGGGCAAATCTATCATATCATGGCAAGTCAAAAAGCATAACACAGTAGCACAATCATCTACGGAAGCTGAGTATCGAGCACTAGCTAATGAGGCTTCAGAAATTATATGGTTACGACGCTTATTAGAAGATTTTCACATTACTCAAACTGAACCTACTATAGTTTATTGTGATAACACTTTAGCTATTGCTTTAGCTAATAACCCCGTGTTTCTTGCTCGTACCAAACATATCGAGGTCGATTGTCATTTCATAAGAGATTGTATTCATGCCAAACATATTTCTGTGCATCACATATGTATTGACGATCAACTAGCAGACATATTTACCAAACCTCTATCTATTTTCAGATTTAAGCAACTTTCCAACAAACTGCTGGATGACCAGTCATCATCACTTTGAGGGGGAATGTAAGAAGAACGTTCTGTAACTGCCTCTTGCCACCTGTCGGTTTGTTATTTGTCTACTGTGTAACTATCTTCTTGTAAGAAGTCTATAAATAGCTGATGTAAACCTGTAATGCGGTATGAAATAGAAGTCTCTGTTTCCCATTTCTCTTCTATTTCGTTACAGTCAATATCATTTGTAACTGAAAGTTGGAAAAGTGTCAAGCTCGAAGAGTTAAGTATGTTAAAAACTCTAATGATGATACCCCTTTCAACAATGTGGAGGAAATCCAGTTGACTTTGCTTCCTGCTAGGATAGAACTACATTGAACAGTGATTGGATCCTCACTAATTGCCATAAAAACAGAATACTTTAATCCTACAATTTAAAAGGTAAGAACCCCAATGACATGGAAGCAAAGAAAAACTATAACTTAACTCCAATAAAGAAAAAACTCCCAGGTAGATAAACCAATAGTCAATTATGAAGAGACATTTCCGCTTACAGCATTTCAATCCCATGAAAATATGTAATCCACCACACAAATCGAAATTCCCCGTAAGGAAATTAAGACAAGATACAATACAATCGACAAGATACAATACAATCACCAAACTATCCGCTCAGCCTCATCTTACAAGGTTACTCAACAGTGTAGTGACAAGGAGCTCCTAGCCTCCTAGGTAACTTAACATTCAATTACCAGAACTGTGAGCATTTGTGAACTTACCAAAAAAAAAATTATCACTAAAAGGGCGACGGGAAGCAGATGGGAGTGGAGGGGCGGAAGATCAACCTGAAGCGAAAGCGGATGAACTCACAAAGCTCCGTTTGTTGGATTTGGGGGAGAGAAAAAGCGTGCGGCGTAGATGGAAGCCGCGGATGCGAAAGGGAAGAAGAAGGCGACTCGTAGCCGAGTAGGAGTCTGAGAATACCGTCGAGGACGCCGCCATCACTGTAGGAATTCCGGTAGAGAAGCACTGGGAAAAACGTTGACCAGGTTGAGGGTTTTTAGCGGAGGGAAAACGCAGACACAGTGGTCAGATGGTTTGTATAAAATTTTTCTATTTTTATATATTTAATACTTAAATTTTTATATTTATATATATATAATTCTCAAAATTTAAATAATAAAAAACAACATAAATATTAATTTATTCAAGATAAATTTCATTTTTAGCATAATTTTGATATTAAAATTATTGGTGTCAAAAATTGACCTCCCGAAAAATTTAGGCTTAGGTTGACCAATTTAATTAATAATTTGACTTTGAATTGTGTTTTCCGACCTGTTTATTAAACGAGTCTGATTCAAATTGACATGCTAACCCATATTCATCTGAAAATGATCCGTTTACCATTTTTAATTTTTACATGTGAATTTAATCTTTTTTTTAATAAAATATCATCAATTTTATAGTTAATATGTTAGAAAAAAAATATTTTTTATTTTTTATATGATCACTCTATCATATGTTTTTTGTTTCACGCATGTGAACACTCAGCATTTCACTTTCATTTAACACTTGTATTTTTTACAATTCTACATGTAGCCAAACAATCCCTTAGTACATTTCAATTTTTTGAGTGTGTTTCTTTCATTTCTTATTCCATTAATTCTAAAATTGGGATCGAAAATTTATTAAAATAGAATTTGCACCCTCCCCCCCCCCTAGTTTGGGTTTGCATCATTATGGTTACTAGAGATTCATAGTGATGTTTTTCACCCATTTATTAAACTGGTCGGATTTTGAATGATTGGTTTTGGGTCTGATCAATTTCGAGTCGGATCCAAAGCAGACTTGCCGACCATGTTTGACACTCCTAATTAAGATGATGCATAAATAAATATAAAAAAAATTAATATTAAATATATAAATACATAAAATTATGTGTGTGTGTTCGTGCGTGTGTATATATATATATTCTCAGAAAGAGTTAACATAACACCAATTGTGAATGAATACTTTAAGCTAAGTAACCTTTTTTTTTATTGAGATCTAAAATAAAAGGGGAAAAAAAAGATATTATAATTAATTTGATATATGTACTCATAAAATAAAAATAAAACAGATTTGTTAAAAAAAAAATATTTTGATATTATCAAATTTTTATTTATGAATTTTTTAACAACTTTTTTAGCTCATTTAGAGAGAGAAAGAGAGAGAAATATATTTATGATAAAAATGTTTTTCTCACTCTTTTTTCATTTAAAAATTTCAATCAAAATAATGCATTTATCATCTTCCTAACTTATTCTCACTACAAATTCTAATACTTTACTTTTTTAGAAATAATAATAATAATATACTTTTAATAATATAAAAATTAAATTGGCTCATTATCTAAATAAAGTGGAGCTTAATTAATTAATTTGCTTGGATTTCTTTGTTGAGTGAAGGTTTACAAATTTTAATTCATTGCAAAAAAATTAATTTCTGTTTTGCCACTATGCTTTGTTACTTTTAAAAAAAATTATATTATAAAACTTTTTTCTACAATAGTTTTAAGAAGTTATTTTCTCTATAGCAACTGTACAATGTATTAAAAAAGCCGCCCCAAACAAAATCTAAGTAATTTCTGTAAATAGTAAAAATGCTATGATGTCACAAAAATGCCTCTTAAAACTTAACCCATTATTTATCGGATTAAATGGCCAACAAAAAAGGGTATATCATAAAAAAATAAAAATTGAATCTATATAAAAACCCTTTTTTTATAAATATCTTTTTGTATGTGATTTAAAATCATAAATATGATATTATTATTTAAAAATAAATAAATTTAGGCCTTCACAATAAAAACTTTCTAGCTATGCCATTGGTTATAATTTTCTATCATGTGCCTCAAATATGAATTCATACATGGGCATATTCTCATTTCATATGTGTAGTAGTGGAACTAAGGAGGTGTTTAGGTAGCTCCTCTCTCTAAATTTGAGAAAAATTATATTTAACAAATGTATAATATAAAAGTCTTAAACATTTCATCTACAACTAATTACATTCTTTCTTCTTCTTATATGAAATCATAATCTCATCAATGAATGTGAGTAACCATTAAAATAAATTATACAAAAAATCATAAATCACAAAATTTTATTGAAAAAATGAAGCATGACTCAAAATATCTAGTTTTGTAAGACTATTAGGAGAGTATAATTTTAATATACACACGCATTAAAACTAACACTCAATCCCAAATCACAAAAAGTGAAGCTGCCACAATCAAATATAGAGGTTTTAAAAATACTAGTGTTTGGTTTGATGAAAAAAAAGAGATGATGAGAAAAATTTTGATTAATTCCAATGTCACTTCATGATGTATTTTTTATTTATTTTAAACATACCCAATTTTTATTGAATTCTAAAAACATCGCAAACTATCGCTCTTGCCAGCGCCATTGCCACCACTGTGGTTGCCATCGCTTCCCACTTCCACCACTACATGTTTGCAGCTCACCATCCACTGCAGAAACATCGTCATTGCCAGCCAATAATGTCAACCATCGCCACAATCTGGGCCAACACTCATCATAATGGTCACCACCCTTCATTGCTGCCAACCATTGTCGATCAATGTCATCTCCACCTACCGATCGCCAAACCACAAGCTACTCGCCATCGTTGCCAACTATCATGTTTTAGAATCTAATTTGCATAATTACATTTTCCTATTTTTTACTCATTCAACCATTCAAGCAGAGCTTATAAATTTCATATAAATCACGAAAAGCTTAAATACATTATTTTCATCTTTACAATTTGATACAAGTCCAAAATAACGTATATGTAATAGTCATTGTACATAATGAACTGACTCAACTGAATGAATATGACTACAAAACAGAAAGACTACTAAACACCAGTACATCAGATCATTCTGAAGCTTTATTATCCTTACTTGAAAATATGTAAAAACTACATAATTAGCATAAAAGCTCAACAAACACCACTATCTATTGCTGAAATCAATACACATAACATATCATATAAATAGTCTTTTATCATCTATTACATATCATGCATCATGTTATATTGTATCAGTGACGTAACATTGTCATATAAGTATGGCTACTTATCATTCATGTTCCTGATATCATTCAATTAGTTACAATCATTATTATCAATTACTAGCAAGCAGTAGTCAATTTATCATATCTATCATATGTTATCTCTCTCTTCTACTACATCATGTCAATTAGTAGTCATCAATCTTATCCATTTTATAAGTACATATATCTGTATCATATGCTATCAATGCACACACATCTATGACATATGCTTCAACATACTATCAATATATGTATGCATCAACGTATGACTAAGCAAGGCAGGTCATTCCACTTTAATATGGTATTTTGCATCCTTTCATTAAATATTTATATCATTAATCATTATTATTATCATTACATGTGTCTTTCAATAATCTTAAAGAATTGTCACTCTCTGCTCGTTGGAGTAATCAATCATTTGTTATAGGCTACAAATAGGATAACACCACAAACTATCTATAAAGGAAAGTCCATCGGCCCACCCTCATGCATATTATATTATGTTTTAGGAGCCAACCCATATTAATTATAGTGTTAATAGCCTACATTCCTTGCTTACATGAAATTAACACATGCATCGAATATCAGTGGTATCATTTTCATATATAAAATACAATAATTCATGAATACAAAAAAATGTGTAAAATATGCATTAACTTTGAAAAATCATAACTCACAATTTTCCCATTGAAATTCAATAATATTCTAATCAAAATGTTCATAAATAACGATCTCTATCACATATCAAAAGTTACATAGTTAAACTTCAGATAAATAAGAGATATTAACTTTTTATCACTTTGAAGAGAGAGAACATACCAAACTCAAAATAATTGAAAATAGAAATAGAGTAATGATTACTTACAATCATTAGAATAACTTTTATAATAGGAACAACAGATTTTAAAGCCCCAAAGAACTTTCTCTATTCTTTCTCTTCTTTCTCTTTCTCTCGCCTCTCCTTTCTCTCCCTCTCCTTATCCTTTCTTTCCTACAAGATGAAGTGAAAGGAAGGGATGGGGAGATGACATGGATTTATATTAAACATATAAAAAAAATACTATTCATAGGGCTATGGTTTAGGACATTCTAAATTTTCAAATAACTTTATTTTAAAACATTTTTGGGTTTTTACACTAACTGCCGCTAACATTGGGTTTTATAGCACATTTATTTTACTTCAAATAAAAAAATAACATATAATTAGAATAAATTATTTTTGTTTTACACTCATATAAACAACTTCAAATATTTCAAATACATTATCTTTATTTTATACTATATTTTGTTTTACTTTTTTTTTTTTCGCAAATCAAAGAGCATCTACTACAACTTATTTTGTAAGATACATAAAATCATCAGAGTCAACAAAATTAGAATTGCAGCATTCAATTTTTTCCTCATAATTTATTTCAAGATATCATTTAAAATATATGTGAATGACTTATTTCTAGGAAAAAATTTTGTATCAACATATTCCAGCAAAAAAACTTGGTCAAAATTTCTACAAATGTTTAAATTTGTTTTAATATAAATACAAAATAAGAACAATCAAGCAAAACTTATATTATATTAATCTCAAAATAAATTTAAATTTTTAAAATTTATCAATATTAACAATTTAATTAGATACCTTATCGTATTTTTTTCTTCTCCATTATTTAAATTTTCACATGAAAACAAGTAAATTGGTATGCACATGTGAACATGTATGAGTGTTTATTAATTATTAAATGATTTATTATAAATTATATAATTTGATAAATTACTCGTTATTAAACATGTGAAAATTGATCATATTAGATGCAAATGATAAGATAATACATAAAAGCAATAGATTAAAATGTTAATAACTATTTTCTACATAAATAAGGGTGTATTTTGAATGATATTTTTTAAATAATTTTGGCAACAGTTCTATATATTCATTTTAATCCAAATTATATTTGAATCATATCCCTAAAAAGAAAAAAATTCATGCTTAATCGCACCCATTTCATGCCAATAAAGTGAATTTGAGAGAATTTTTTCACAGCTTTCAGTTTCGTTTGAGGCAGCTTTCTTACTGCTTTCTAAAAAACTTTTTAGTATAAAATTTTTTTGTTTCAAAAAATTTTGTACTAAAAAACTCCTTTAAAAATAGTAAGAAATGCATCCCAAATAAAGCCTTCATCTACACTAACTGCTTCCAACCCCTACAAAACGACTATTTTTCATAACATGATAACATGATATCATAGCATGATGAACAAAGAGATAGGCCAACATTGGTGTTCAAAAAAGTGATTACTTGAACGCATAAAGAGAAATTTCTGATCGTTAAATTCATTTAATAAAAAGAAGAGATGAGATCTAACATCCCAACAAAAGTAATTTTAAAACATAAAAGCAAACACTTTTAAAAAAATAGTTAAACAGCCAATAACTTCTAAGAATAAGCTGGTAGAAATAGTACTCACTTGTTTGGGAAGTAGACCAGGGGAGAATAAATGATATTTTACATTTCCATATGCTCACTTGCTTGATCTGGTAATAGAAATGCTATATTGGAGATGTCTAGCTCCACCTCTCTCATGATACCAAGAAGCTTTCTGGCCAGAATATCATCACTTAATGACCAGCTACAGCAGAAGAAAGTTTCAGTTTTACAGTCACTTTGCCCCTGCTGGATCCTGTAGGAACAAAGATCATTCAAACAAATTCGAGCCTGAAATGATTTCAACCGGAGATGATCAAAAGTTTTCTGGATATTGCAGCAATCAATTTTGGATTCAAACTCCCTTGATAGTAACTCTAGTAAAGAATGAAAAGGTGTTTCAAATGAGGCGTTCATTTCTGAAGGCTGGGAGAGATTATTAGGTGCGGTGTCCGGACCGTCCAGAGGCGAATCCGGATGCGCTATGTCACTCAGATGCACTGGGCCTTGGGTGACATGGTGCGTCCGGATTCGTTCGGAGGCGAATCCGGACGCCGCACGTAATAATTTTCCAGGCTGGGGGGGATTTGGTTCGGAATTAGATTCTCCTGGGAGAGGTTTGGTTCCTCCAGTAGAGAAGTCTAGTGATTGCAGGCTGTTCTTTACTTTGACCGGGCAGCAGAAAGCCAGCTGAACCGTATGCTTCTTTGCATCCAATGTGTGAAGAAGGTCATTTTCAGAAACAATCTTTGCTATCTTGTTCTTCTCCATCAAAAGAATGCCTTCAGCTATTCCTTCATTACTGCAAATTTCTGAGATCTCTTCATGATTGATAATGGTATCTGAAACGCAAAGCAGTTCATGCTTTGATCGGTTAAAGTTTCGATTAAAATGATTTCTTAAGAATGATTTGGTAACATCAACTCTTATAGTTTGTCTGGCAGGAACAGATACAGCCTCATTGTTTGCTGGATAAAAACAAGGAATTCCAAGTTCAGACTCTATTCTTCCTTTCAATATTGCCATCTTAGGCTTCTCTCCATGTACAAGTATGACATGTTTTGGAGATAAAAAGCTAAGGAGATCCATGATACCCTTTGCATCAGTGTGAGGGCTGAAAGACATCTGATGGATCTGGCAGGAATAAAACCTTTTTAGAGCATAAGAAACAGAAAGGAAAAAAACAAGCAAAACAATGCTTAACAATATAATAGATAGATAGTTAGCCTTGAGTTACTATGTTATGAATTTTACTAATTCGTTGTATTAGGCTTTTGATGATGCTAGAATATAGCAAATACTTCTCTCTGCCTTAAGCAACTTGCATGTTTATCAGGGAGCCAAAACTGCTTACGGAAAGACGCTTTATCAGGGAGTAAAATTTAAAGATAACAATGCATTTCTGTGAGAAGACCCTTTTTTAATGAGTTGTTCATTGGCATAGTCTCTCCTAAAAGAGCAATAGTTAGAGGAACTAATTTATTGATACCCAACAGATTTTTCCATCTTCGTGTAAATCATAATAAAACAACTGCATGTAGATAAACTTTTACCATTGAGTCTAAGGCTTCATTAGGGATGGCTTTCTTACTGCTTCTTAAAGCAGTTTTCTAATAAAAAAATTTTAATTTTTGTACTAAAAAGCTACTTTATGAAGCAGTAAGAAAGCGGTCCCAAATGAAGCCTAAATAAAACTTGCAACACCGGTAGCAAGGTAGAGAACAGCTTTTGAACAAACCTGGCATCGGACGTCAATGCAAGTATCTTTGTCCAAATCAATCCGAGTAGGTTTACCGGACATAAGTTTATGCCCCACTGTTCCAGCAACACAGTAGCTGCCAAAATAATAAAAAACCATCAAACAACAATCAATATGCTAGAGTTCTTGCAGCAAAATAAAAAAAAATTAAAAAAAAAAAATCAAGCAATCAAATATTCTGGGAAGGCAAATACAATCACAAGAAATTCAGATATCCAAAGGCTCCAATAATCCAAAAAGAGATGAAGATTAGATCAGGGTTAATTGTAGTTTCAAGTACCATGATAATCAGAGGGGTCCTACTAATCATTCTATATGTTCGTGAAATATGAGAACCTTTCAAATGGCAAAATATGCCTATAAAAACCTTGAGTTGGTTATAATTTCTAGAGCAGTTATTTTTTTTTTCTCACCATGTTATATATCTGAATGGGTTGGGTTTGGGCACAAAATAGTGAAGTTGATTATGGTGTAGGCAATAATTTTACTTATTATTATGATCAACTAGCAGTAACATTAGAGCATAAAAGCTTTTTGGAAGACAACTACAATGGTACCTGGTAAAAATCTAACTTTGAGGGTTTATAACTCCCCCATAAAGTGTATGCAAGAAGGTCTAGCATTGATGAATTTCCCTAAGTCATCAGTAATTACTATAACAAAATCTTCACCTGATGTTAACTACCTTTCCTTATGGGTCTCAGACTGAAATTAATAGAGAAAAATGTGGGGAGACGATTGTTGCCGGGCCACTACTCAGAAGCATCAGATCACTCAAGTGGCGCTTCCATACTCAAATTTGACACCATATGACTACTTTTCCCACGTTTGTTCATCAAGGCAGTTTGCTTTTACCCAAGTTCCGTACCAACTCTGACCAATTTGTCAAAAAGCAAATGAGGCATCAATAGAGTAATCCGTCAATTTGACATGACAATTCTCAATTGTTAAGGTAATATGTCATCGGGACAATTTGATTTGGTGCCCTAGCCCATCAGGTGGTGAGTTAGTGGCTTAATATGTTAGTTTTCCACTCTATGAGCCTCACTAGTCAGGTCAGTAGTCAACCTCCAGAGTCATTGGATGTGGTTTATGATCCAAGTGTATTTTCGCCTAATAGAACTATCAGTTCTCTTTTGAGCCAATGGGTGACCACCTATTGGGTCAAGCTAAGACATGTGAAAATAAAAAGTGCAAGTAAAATTTTGATCTCTTACAATTCCAACTCAAAAGCAATCTGAAATGCTTGATCCATTGAAGAGGTAAGATCACCTTTCATCAAACAACTCCTATGAAGAACTCTAAGAAAAGATTAACTTAAGATTCTCCATGAAATCACGTGGGATCATTAGTTCAATATATTTATCAAAGAAGTGAACAATTGTCATGATTATTAGACAAGTTTTACGATGGTTGTTGATTATCTAACACAACCCTCAACTTTTATCATCCAGGACATGATACATGGCAACGACAGTGTTTATCATCCAGATTAGAGAGAGTCGCCTTAGATGGTTTGGGCACATAAAACGGCGGCCTTTTGATGACCTGATTAGGAAAGTAGATGTATTAGATTTGACTTATGTTAAGAGAGGTACATGTAGGCCTAAAAATACTTGGTTAGAAGATATTAAAAATGACATTTCTTTATTAGATTTAGATGAGAATTTGACTCTTAATATGACATAATGGAAAAAAAGGATTCATGTAGACGACCTCACATAGTGGGATAAAGATTTGTTGTTGTTGTTTTTGTAGTCAACAATTTGTATAATACTTGGTCTTAAGGTAAGCATCTCATTCATTAATTGGCCATGATAAGCACATAAAAGATTCTTTTTAT